AAGGTGGCTCAGTGGTAGAGTGCTTGCCTTGCATGCATGAGGTCCTGGGTTCAATTCCTCAGCCCCACATAAGCAGAAAAAGCCAGAAGTGACGCTGTGGCTTAGGAGTAGCATTCTAGCCTTGAGCTGAAAAGATGAGGCCCAGAGTTCAGGCTCCATGACGGACCAAAAAAGAAAAAAAAAGAAGACATAAAGAAGTAGAGATAACTATTTTTTTTCTTTTTTGTATGGAAAACCATACAGAAGTATAATCTGAGAAAAAATGGGTATTTTCTATTAGTAATAAACTGGAGGGACTTAGCAAGGCCTCCTTGTTCAGAATCTTCTTCAGTCCCCATTACTGACCAAAAAAAAGAAAAATATAATTTACATGACATGCCACTGTAAGACTTACAGTTCAGTGTTTTTTTTGTATATTCACAAACATATATATAGATATCTATATCTATATTATAATGCCGGGGTTGAACCCAGGACCTTGCTCTTGCTAGGCAGGCATTCTACCATTTGAGCCACTCTACCAACTTTGTGTGTGTCAGGGTTGAACCCAGGGCAGGGCCTGGGCACTGTCCTAAGCTTTTTTGCTCAAGGATAGCACTCTTATCACTAGCTGGAAAGGAAACCACTACATGTTTGAGGCAGAAAAAAGAGTTTATTGGGAGGAGAGCAAACCAAGAAGGTGGAAGCATGGGGAGACAGGAGAAGGAAGGAGAGGGAAAGAGGGGGGACTCATGTAGAGCCAGATTATATAGGGAAAGGCAGGTGACAGGACCAGAGCTGATGCAAAAATGATGCTTGGGAAACCTCTCCTATCCTAGGCAGGCATGACCAGGGTGGTTCAGGAAATAACCACAGGGGATGAGGAAATGACCTCAGAGCCTGGGGTCCTTTGCTGACTCACAGTCAAGTGATTGACTGTTTCAGGTTTCAGGCTGGTGAAGAGGTAGGAAGGATGGGCAGAGATAACAACAAGCCACAGCGCCACTTCTGCTTTTTGGTGCTTACTTGGAAATGAGAGGTTTATGGACATTTCTACCCTGGCAGCCTTTGAACTGTGATCCTAAGATCTCAGTCTGAATAGCCACTGCCACTCAGCTTGCCAATCCCTTTTATGTTGCCTATTTTTGATATAGGACTCTTATTCTCCTATTTGTACACCCTAAGTATATGAGTTAAGATACCATGTATGTTACACTATTGTTAACAGCAGTTAATTGAGATAAATTTTGATGCCCAGGCTGGCCTCCAACTGCTATCTCCTGATCTCCACCTCCCAAGTACCCAGGATTACCAACGAGCCACTGCTTTCATCATAGTTTGGCTTTTAATGATTACTTTTAGAAAAGAGATCTATATTTGTCTTTGTTTCTGTTTTTCTTTGAGATAAAGTTTCTCCATAAAGTTTAGACTGGTCTCAAACTCACTGTGTATCTCAGGCCTGGGATACAAGATCCTGTCTTGAACTCTCAATCCTCCTATCTCAGCCTCTCAAGTGCTAGTAGTTGAAGTGCGTATTATTAGGGTTATATTGTGCATTGTACAATGTTTTAAACATTCCATAAAATTTTCTTAAAAAATAGTTTTCAAGCTAGGCACCAGTGGTTCACACCTGTAATCCTGGCTACTCAGGAGGCTGAGATCTGAGGATTGCAATTCAAAGCCAGCCCAGGCAGGAAAGTCCATGAGACTCTTCTCTCCAGTTAACCACCAAAAACTGGAATGGCTCTGTGGCTCAAGTGGTAGAGTGCTAGCCTTGAGCTGAAGAGGCTCTAGGCCCAGAGTTCAAATCCCAAGACTGACAAAATAAAAAATAGCCGGGTGTGGTGGCTCACGCCTATAATCCTAGCTACTCAGGAGACCAAGATCTGAGGGTTGGTTAAGAGCCAACCAGTGCAAGAAAGTCTGTGAGACTCTAATCTCCAATTAACCATTCAGAAAGTGATGCTGTGGCTCAAATGGTAGAGTGCTAGCCGTGAGCTGAAGAGCTGAAGGAGAGAGCCTAGGCCCAGAGTTCAAGCTCCATGACCGACAAAAAAAAAAAGTTTTCAGTGAGAGGTCAGACTGTCTCATGTGAGGCATATAGCTAGCCAGGCTTGTGTTTGGTTGTGGGGAATTTTCAGGTTTATATATCAAAATCATACAGCTCTGCTCTCACAGTAGTGCAGACCTGAGTTAAGTATGTCTGTGCCCTTACCTGCGTTATGAAAGAGCCCATTAAAAAAGTGGAAGTGGAGGTGTGTCTCACATAGTAGAACACCAGCCTTGACTGAAAAAGCCAAATAAGAGACAATACCTTGAGTTCAGTCCCCAGCACTGGCATAAATAAATAAGTAAGTAAGTAAACCAGAGTGGCTGGAGATGTATGTCAGTGGTAGAACTCTTCCTTACCACATGAAAGGCTCTGAATTTGATTCCCAGCACTGAAAAAAAAAAGGGCAGAAAATGTTAAGGACAGATGTCATAGATTCCCTGTCCCCAGGGACAGACAGACATCTGATAACCACTCAAGCCCAAGACAAAGGACACATATGGATAGTGTCTTGTAAGAGGATCCTGTAAGGTAAGGACAAAAGTCTAGTCAAGATTTTCCTCTCGGGGCTGGGAATATGGCTTAGTGGTAGAGTGCTAGCCTAGCATGCTTGAAGCCCTGGGTTCGATTCCTCCACATAAACAGAAAAGGCTAGAAGTAGCGCTGTGGCTCAAATGGTAGAATGCTAGCCTTGAGCAAAAGAAGCTCAGGGACAGTGCCAAGACTCTGAGTTCAGGCCCCAGGATTGCCCCCCGCCTCAAAAAATATATATGTATATTCCTCTCAAATTTTTTTTCTCAGCATTAAGGCTTGAACCCAATGTCTCATGCATGCTAGGCAAGTACTCTTGTCATTCGAACCATGCCCAACCCTTTGGTTTTCTTATTTTCGATTTTTAAAAATAATTTTATTTATTTAATTTTTTGAGGGGGAGGGGTCCAGTCGTGGGGCCTGAACTCTGGGCCCGGGTGCTGTCCCTCAGCTCTTCAGTTCAAGGCTAGCACTCTACCACTTGTGCCACAGCACCACTTCTGGCTCTTTTTCTTTTTGCTTATGTGGTGCTGAGGAATCGAACCCAGGGCCTCAGGCATGCAAGGCAAGTACTCTACCACTGAGCCACCTTCCCAGCCCTATTTATTTAATTTTTTGCCAGTCCTGGGGCTTGAACTCTGGGGCTGGGCACTGTTCCTGGGTTCCTTTTGCTCAAGGCTAGCACTCTACCACTTGAGCCAGAGGGCCACTTCCAGATTTTTTTGTGATTAATTGGAGACAAGAGTCTCACAAACTTTCCTGCCTGGGCTGGCTTCAAACTGCAATCCTCAGATCTCAGATTCTTGTGTAGCTAGGATTACAGGTGTGAGCCACTGACACCCAGCTTATTATTTTTAGTTGTAAGAAGGAGTTGCAATTGTTTATTAATGCAGGAGATCTTGATAAGTGTCACTCTTTTCAATATTCTCATTATTTTGCTCAGTTGGCCAAAGCTGAGCTTGAACTCAAAATTCTCCTGCTCCTGCCTCCCGAGTAGTTGAGATGATAGATGTGAATTACCACAGCCAGCTCCTTTCTGAGTTTTTCAGGACAATCTAATCATAGTTAATGGAAAATTCTTAGAGACAGAAAAATATACTGCAGTAGAACAGTGTTTCATCTTCAAAACTGTCTTGTTTTTTGCTCAGCATAGTGATACACACCTGAAATCCTGTACTCAGCAGAGGTAGGAAGATTTTGAGCTTGAGAATAGCCTGGGTTACATAGGAAGTTCCAGTCTGATTTGGGGTACCTATTGAGACCTGCCTCAAAAACAAAAAGACTAGCCAGGTGCTGTTGGCTCACATCTGTAATCCTAGCTACTCAGGAGGCTGACATCTGAGGATCACGGTTCAAAGCCACCCTGGGCAGGAAAGTCTGTGAAACTCTGATCTCCAGTTAACCACCAGAAAACCGGAAGTGACAATATGGCTCAAGGGGTAGAGTGCTAGCCTTGAGCTGAAGAGCTGAGGGACAATGCCCAAGCCCAGAGTTCAAGCCCACAATTGACAAAAAAAAAAAAGGAGGGGGGCTGGGAAAGTGGCTCAGTGGTAGAGCACTTGCTTTGCACGCATGAGGCCCTGGGTTCGATTCCTCAGCACCACATAAGAAAAAAGCCGGAAGTGGTGCTGTGGCTCAATTGGTAGAGTGCTAGCTTTGAGCTGAAGAGCTGAGGGATAGCGCCCAGGCCCAGAGTTCAGGCCCCATGACCAGACCTTCTCTCCCCACCCCACCCCCCACCCCCCAAAAAAAAGAGAGAGAGAGATTTGGGTTTTTTTAATTTTTTTTTTAATTTTTTTTGGTCAGTCCTGGGGCTTGAACTCTAGTCCTGGTTGCTGTCCCTCAACTCTTCAGCTCAAAGCTAGCACTCTACCACTTGAGCCACAGCGCCACTTCCGGTTTTCTGGTGGTTACCTGGAGATCAGAGTCTCATGGACTTCCTGCCTGGCTTTGAACCATGATCCTCAGGTCTTAGCCTCCTCCATAGCTAGGATTACAGGTGTGAGCAATCGGCGCCTGCCTTTTTTTTTTTATTATCTTTAAGTAGTTATACAAAGGAGTCACCATTTAACAAAGCAATTTATGAATACAGTATATCTTGATTCTTATCACCCCTTTCAAAATTCTTACCCATCCCTTCCCTTACTTTCCTTGGTTTTATAGGATATACATTGGGTTCTTCACTAAAACTAGTTTTTAATATTCTTGGTTTATGCAGTGAAATTATATTGTCTTTGTAATCTGATCTCTAAAAGTATGTTTACAAACACATCCTTGAAGCAAATAAATCATTAATAGTTCACAGTATCTGTACAACAAATCATTTCAGCTTGAAAAAACCAAAACACAGTAGGAATTTAAGGCAGAGGCAGTACTGCCTTTGTGAAGGGCAGCTCTCTATGGCCATTATAAGGTAATCCTCTACTTTTTTTGTCTTTAGTCATGGGATGTTTTTTTTCGCAACACCAATGCCGGAGCTCCCCCAGGCACAGCCTACCAGAGCCCCCTTTCCCTGAGCCGAAGTTCCCTGGCTACCATGGCCCAGGCACAGTCCCTGGTGGAGAGCCAGCCTAATGTTGACAAGCTCGTGGAGGACCACTTGGCCGTGCAGTCTCTCATCAGGGCCTATCAGGTGAGCAGGGGCTACTTCATTTGTCATCATTTAACCCCCTCTAAATCCCAGGTACTTTCTCTTTGCTTTGGGACAAGAAAAGGAGCCAGGCTGACCCTAGTCAGGCAGTTCCTTTGCCACCTTTCCTGCCTGCCTCATACTAGTGTCTTCTTTTCATAAATGATTGTGGGCAGGGAAATAATATCAGTATCTGAGTATCCAGGAAAAGTGGTACTCACCCAGCAGGGACAGGGAGGGTATTCTGTGGGGTGGGTTGGTACCCTCGTCTCAGCCACTAACAGCTGAATAGTATAAGGGAAAAAAAAATGTGTAGAGTCTGGAGACACACACAGGTTCAGGGTAGGAGAAGGCCAGCCTAGCCTGCACAATGTGGGCAAGAGACCGAGAACTCCCCTAAAACATGCCACTTTGTAGCCATTCTTACCAGGTGTGTCCCTAGAACTGTGCTTATCCTTCCTGACTTTTCTCCAAAACATGAGTCATGCAGCATTTCCACTTCATGTTGGGTAAAACTAGAAATTTAGACCTTAAAACTCCCTTTGTAGGGGGCTAGAGGCATGGCTCAAGTGGTAGAGTGCCAGCTTGTGAACAAGCAAGCTGACTATGAGGTTCAAATCCCAGTATCAAACACACACATACGAAACGGCCTCCTTCTGTGACTAGACCTAAGGAGAAAAGGTAGAGTAAAGCAGGCCTGGTGCCTCCCTTCTAGAATCTCCTGTGGGAGTCCAAGCACCATCACCAGCAAGAGGTGGTGATCTGATGTGTCGTGCCGCAAGCAGTGGCAACCTGGTAACTTATACCTCAGGTCCTCCATTCCACCCCATGATTGTTTCTTGGAGACACAGTGCTCCATAGGCCTAGGTCTCCAGTCCTTTCCCACCGTGCTGTGGCAAGTAAGACAGAAGATCTGTCTCTAGGTAAGGTGCACAGCACAACAGGTTATGCCTAACCATTTCCTGCACATGTTATAGTAACATCTTTAACATGGTTTCTCAGTGGCTTCTCAGCTATTCTTAAATTTCTCACACTGCTAGCAAGGAATTATGACTGTGGACTAGCTGAGGATGAAGCCTGAGTTCAAACCTCAGCACCTCCAAAAAGAAAAAAAAATATGATTGAAATCCCCAACATTGAAAGAACTTAAAATTAGAATAAAAATTTTTTCTGTTTTTTCTAATTTATTTTTTGTTTGTTTTTCTCGTTTTGCAGTGCTGAAAATGGAACCTAGGGCCTCAAACATGCAAAGCACCCTACCACTGAGCTACACACTAGTCTCTCCATTTGTTTTTGTTTGTTTTTGAATAGTTCAGATGAGATGCATTAAGTATATATTGTAGTGGGATATTTTTGTTCTGGCCACTGTACAAGTTACTGAATGAGTGTTGGAGCCAGAGCCCATGCTTGCCTCAGCACATGAATGTAATAAAAGACAGAGTTTCCCTTAGTAAGATGATACCTCATCTATGTAGTACTGTACCCCAGCCACACCTAACCTCTCATTTTCTTCCTTAGGGAAATGTTTATTGTCACAGTAAGGAATTCTCCACACTGAATTCCAATTCCCTCACATAGCTCATTGCCATGACCCAGGGAAACTAAGGAACCCCCAAAATAGTCTCAGTTTATCATAACTCGAGTTTATTTTTTTTAATAACAATGTATTTATACATGTAGGGCTAATTATGTTATATGGATTCATTGTTCTATGTTCCACTCTAGGAAAGATTTGCATGAAGTATAACTTTTTACCCCCCTCCCACAGCTCACTGGATCTGCTTAATGACTTGTGTTATTATTCCAGGTCAGGGGTCACCACATTGCAAAACTTGATCCTCTCGGAATTAGTTGTGTAAATTTTGATGATGCTCCAGTAACTGTTTCTTCAAACGTGGGTGAGAATTAATCTGTAAATGCTAATTTTAATGTAATTTTACTTTTTTTACCCCTTCCCTCTTTTTTTTTCTCCTGTCCTTTTGTGTGTGTCCTTCCCTCTCATTGTTGGTCCACTCATAGATACGAGGGCACCATGTAGCACAGCTGGACCCCCTGGGGATTTTGGATGCTGATCTGGACTCCTCCGTGCCCGCTGACATTATCTCATCCACAGACAAACTTGGTGAGGGTTTGAGAGCAGTCAGCTGCGTTGCTTGAGCTCCTCTCTCTGTCACAGCCTGTGGTAGCCAGGATGTCCAGACAGGAGGGAAAGGCTCTTAAGTTTCCTTTGTTATGATCACTTAAAATTCATCAGTAATACAGCCTTCATGTGTTTCAGGCATGGTTTTATTCCACTTGTCAGCCAGATTGTTTAAGACTCAATCTGGAAAATAAAATTTTCAATGGAAAGGTCTGTGGCACAGAGAAAAGCCCCCCTCTCCCTATCCCTCAGGGGGCAGGTGGTTGGAAAACTACTTCAAAGAACAGCTCATTTGGCTCCAGCTTTCTACATTCCCAGGCAGTGCTGCCTTCTACAAGGCCAATGATGAGCCTTGCCAGGGAGCTGCAGTCACACATGTCACATTCTAGAGCCCAGTGGGGCTTGCCTGTGGCCAGAGGTTATTCATGTCTCTAAAGGGCAAATTCCTGAGCATGTGTGCAGTTGGGGTTTCCCAATTTGTAAATGCTGGTGATCACACTGAGGAAACTTTGGAAGGCATTCCCACAGCGTCAGGAGGCCAGGGCCTTTGGGAGGTGCATGTATGGAGCACAGCTGGGTTTTTGTCACAGTTGCCAGAAGATAAACTCATCTGCACCTCATCTTTTTGTGAGGTGAATGGGTATTGTGGCTGGGTGTGTGCTCAACCACAGTTTGCTTCCAGAGTTAATCTGCTTATGTCACCATGCTGCTAACCTATACTAAAGAAATGATGTGACTAATTGTACAATGACCAGGGCATTCACCATAGGCCCTATGCATGCTAATGAAATTGATGATCACCTAATTGATAATACTACTCTCCGGGAAGGAACAAAATTGGCCTCCTTGTAGACACTTTGGGGGAACAGTGCAGAGAAAACAGTCTCTAAGGCTCTGCAGATGCCCTTTGTACTTATAGGCATTGCTGAACTGTGACTAAGAGGTCAGACACTCATTGGGTAAAGTTAAATTTCAAGAATTGTTGGCAGTTAATAATTGTTCTTTAGCCTTGCTTTTTAAAAAACACTCTTGGAGGGCTTGGAATGTGGCTTAGTGGTAGAGTGCTTGCCTACCATGCATGAAGCCCTAAGTTAGTACCACATACACAGAAAAAGCCAGAAATGGCGACGTGGCTCAAGTGGTACAGTGCTAGCCTTGAGCAGAAAGCAGCTCAGGGACAATGCCCACGCCCTGAGTTCAAGCCCCAGGATTGGCAAAAAAATAAAAACCAAAACACCTTGGATATTATGTATGCCTTCAAACTACAACAGTCAACACAGAAGACTTGTGACCTCAAAAAGTGTGGAGATTTCTCTCCACAAGAAAGCAAGCATTCAGTTTTGCAGCAGACATCAGCTGAATGTCCTCTCATTTGATTCTATTCTGATAATAAATGGTTGTTATGGAGCCATCTTCATCAGGCAAGGTATATATAAAGAATTTCTTTATAGCCAGCTCTTGACACAAAGGCTGGGGAAGATTAGTGTCCCTGTGATCCTCTTTGGGGAAGAAGAATTCTAATTTCTATAGCCTGCCTTGAAGAAGAAATTATGAGTGAGCCAGGATCCATGAACAGAAGCCAACTACTATTTAACAAGGGATAGCCTCAGATTCCACAGGGTGAGGGCTGTATCCTTCAGACTGCCCCCTGCAGCTCAGGTTTCTAGAACTTCTGACAGACTGGTTATAGGTTGGGGTTCTCATAACCCTCTCCTAAGGCACAATTATATTACAGGATAGCTTACACAACCCAGGGAAACACTTGGTTACATTTACCAATTTATTGTAAAGAGTATTTTAAGGGGTATAAGTAAATTGCCAGATGAAGAAACATGTTAAGCAAGGTCTGTAAGGGTCCTGAGTACAGAGCTTCTGTTCCCATGGAGTTGGAGAATACCACCTTCTTGGTATATGAGTGTGTTTTTGTTCAGCTTCCATGTGTTTAGCAGTCCAGAAACTCCGAGAATCCCATCCTTGTAGGTTTTAGAACACTTTTTCTGCATGGACAACTATGTAGAAATGTTATTGGACCATGTTAGTTTGACTTGATTCTACTTGACTGAGTGGAGACCCAGCAAGGGTGCAGATTCATCAGAATTTCTTCTTAGGCATGGGGCAGGACCCCTTCTGAAATGGAGTCTTAGACCTACTGTCAGATAAGGTAGGTCTAAGAATTTACAGCCACTCCAGAACAGAAAGGCTGTAAATTAGGAGGTTTGTGACCCAGCTTGAAGAATAACTTAATTTCTATAACATGCCTTAGGGAGGAAATTATATGAATAGCAGAATTAAAAATATATATCATAGACTGGGTGCCAGTGGCTCACACCTGTAATTCTAGCTACTCGGGGCTGAAATCTGAGGATCACGTCCAAAGACAGCCAGGGCAGGAAAATCCATGAGACTCTTATCTCCAGTTAACCACCAGAAAACTGGAAGTGCTGCTGTGGCTCAAGTGGTAGAGTGCTAGCCTTGAGCTGAAGAGCCAAGGGATAGCACCCAGGCCCAAAGTTTAAACCCCACGATTGACAAATAAAATACATACATACATACATACACACCCAAATACATATACTATGCTAGGAGTTTGTATCATAGACAGGACATGACTGGACATGCTTTTACTCATTGGTGAAAACTTTGTGCTCCTAAGAAGTGGGCCTTTATTTGAAGTATTCCTAAGAGGTCTTGGGGCTTTATATACCTCATTCTTTAACATAGAAACCCTTGCTTTCCATCCTCTAATCTTGTCACCACCAGCAGCCCCAAGCTTCTTTAGACCCCAGGTGCAATGCACTTGAGTGTTCCAGAGCCTTCCAAATAAGGTCTTCTCTGTTGAGCCCCTGGTTGCTGGTCTTGCTCCAGTCCATTGTCTTGCCTGTGGACCCCTTTTCTGAGAGGAGCCCCTCTTACAGCGTTATTCAGCGTGGGCACTATGAAATGCTAGTTTCCGTACATGGCACAACATCTAAGGGAACCAGCTCTCTCTCTTGTGTGGCTCTGCATAGTTCTAGTTTGCAGGTGATGACTAGAATAAGGATATTTTCACTATTTGTTCTATGGGGGCCAGGGAAGCCTATCTTCATTTATGCCAGGTAGTAATGTACACTCTGTGCTCCCTTGGAAAGGAGGATGGAATTCTCACATGAGATGCCTTATATATACCCAGTCACTGGGAGGTACTGTGGATTTTGTTTTGTTTTGTTTTGTTTTGCTGGTTGTGGGGCTTGAACTCAGGACTTAGATAGTGTCTCTGAGCTTCTTTTTTTCTCAGTGCTAGCAGTCTACCACTTGAGCCACAGCACCACTTCCAGCTTTTTCAGTTTATGTGGTACTGAGGAATCAAACCCAGGGCTTCATGCATGCTAGGCAAGCACTCCACCACTAAGCCACATTCCCTGCCTGGTTCTGTGGATCTTTTCTAGTATTCCTGCCTGGGGACATGAGGGTGTGGCTGCCCAAGGTCTGCCAGGAGGCTTTTCCCAACTGGCATGAAAGAAAACTCATAGGTTGGCAGAACAATATGTGTATAGTGCAGTTTTAGGATGGTGCTATCACTGGAAGTGTAGTGAGGTCCTGGAGTTCCTTGTTATCTTTTGGAGATGGATTGCTTAGTTAGAAACAGACTTGACTTGTTCACCTAACTAAAATTAGGTACAACGTTGTCTTAGAGTTTACTATGTTGGTCATCCTTTCCTTACTGTTTGAGGTGGGAAGAGGGGAGGTCTTATTTCTGTTCTCTCTTACCCTCACTTTCCACTTAAAAATGCCTTCCTCTGTGTTTCTTATGCACAATCTGTAGCAACTCCTACATAAAGATGACCAATATCTTCTTTAGTGTGAGACTTAAACATAATTAAGAGAGAATTCAGGACACATTCTGTAAATAAATGGGAGGAAATGTGAAACTTCTCTTCTGTATCCAATAATATTTGTAAATTCCTAATAACAGTATTAGGAAATAAACTTGAGTTGGATAATTGAAAGTTAAAAGCCTGAAGCTTTAGTAGAATTTCAGTTACTTAAATGAATTCATTCTTGCATCTATGACATTAAACATCACAGTAAGAAATGACAGCATTCCCATATATTCTCCTGATTTCCCACGCTCTCAGGTTTGCTCTTTGATGCCTTGAGAATGAGCTTCAAACTCCACCCCTCCAGTCCCCATATTGGGGCTTGAGTCTGGGTGTTGTCCGTGAGGTTTTTTTATGTTTAAGGCTAGCACTCTACCACTTGAACCACAATTTCAGCTTTTTGGTAGTTTATTGGAGATAAGAGTCTCACAGACTTTCCTGCCCAGACTGGGTTGGAACCCTGATTCTCCTATCTCAGCCTCCTAAGTAGCTAGGATTATAAACATGAGCCACTGGCTCTTGGCTGATACGTTGTTTTTGAGCCAGAGTCTCGTTGTGTTGCTCAGGCAACTTACATGTTTAAGAGATCCTCTCTTTCCTCAGACTCAACAGCAGCCTACAGGTGTATGCTATAGTACCCATCTATAGAGTTATAGGGTCTTTGTCCCTTCCCTCCTTCCCTTCTCTCCTTCCCTCCTTCCCTCCTTCCCTCCCTCTCTCCATCTCCATCCCTCTCTTCTTTTCTCTCTCTCTCTCTCTCTCTCTCTCTCTTTTTGGGGGGTAGTTCCCCTTCCTTCCTTTCTTCCTTTTCTTTTGGTGCTGGTTCTAGGGCTTGAACTTAGGGCCTTAAGTATTGTCCCTGAGCTTCTTTTGCTCAAGGCTAGCACTCTAGTACTTGAGCCACAGCTCCACTTCCAGCTTTTAGTAGTTTACTGCAGATAATAAGAGTCTCACAGACTTGGAGCTGGGAGTTAGCTCAGTGGTAGCATGCTTGCCTCACATGCATGAGGCCCTGGGTTCAATTACTCAGCACCACATAAGCAGAAAAAAGCTGGAAGTGGCACTGTGGCTCTCAAGTGGTAGGGTGGTAGCTTTGAGCTGAAGAGCTGGGTGCTGAGGGACAGC